TATTCCGATATCCGAAGATAGTGGAACAGAATTGGTAACAACGAATCCTCCAACTTTTTCATACTCTAGAAATTACAATCTCCTGGAAAAAGGAGAAAGGGTAAAAGTTGGTAATTTAACCACAGGAGCAAGAGAGATTGAGTGTGACGCTGAGTAAACAAAGCGACCGAAACGTGCCGCACATCTTTTCTTCGGGTCCTACTTTTAAACGAGAATTGTTCCGCCTTTTGGTTTTAGTGTTTTCAACTAATTTTTGATTAAACTTTTTCTACAGATTTTTACTTTTTACCGAATTAAGGTTTTTCATGAATTTATATTTTCTTCGCAGGTATTACACACTATGTTTAATATAAAAAAGTTAAAAATAGTTAATTCGTTAAATCAAATATATCTTAGAATACACTCGGGAAGTAAAAATTAAACTTTATAGAACAAAGAAAAGTTGTTAAAAAAGCAGAAAACGTGATAAAAATGGTTTCAAAGAGTTTAATTGTTTTTCGAGGAGATTATAATTTTTTATCGATATTTTAGATGATTTTTTTACATTATGGTTATGTTTATGCTTTTAAATATTTTTGATACCTACTAGAAAATTTTATATTTGAATTTTTTTATGGTTAACTGTAGGCAGTCAAAATTTTTTGAAAATATTTTGCATTGTCTGATTTTGATGGGGAAAGGTTGCAATAGGGTTCATTTAGTGAATGGCTAATTTCGTGTTTTCTCGGCGTTTTCTAGTTCATAGACTATGAAACAATAGATCTCCCGTTTCCGTGTGTCTGTTGTCAGTGGGCGACTGCATTCGAGAGATAACCTTCCAGCATTACTGGATTCAATATTGTGAAGTTTAGGTGTATTTTAGAAATATCAGACGGTGAAATGCTAACCAAGATTTTTCTAGTCATTCCCACCAACATTTTAATGACGTCATCTCAAGATTTTGCTACATGATTTCTATTAAATTTTATATAATAATATACTTTCACACACTTATGGTTTATTAATAGTTTTACTTTTTTTTGACTTGAGATATCTAAATTTTTGTAGAAAATTCAAAAGTTACAACACATACAATTTAACTTAGAATATATAGAACTAATTGTGCTAAAACATTGCAAACATTTTAAGGTTACTATTACTAATTAGTAATCCGATTTGTTTGACTGTGCTTCAGAGGCAAGGGAAGCTCTGTCTAATAACGTAAGATGAATTTTTTTATCAGTCGCCGCCCGTCGATGTTTTTTCATGATAATCAGTAATTAAAAAAAGTAGAGTATGCTTAGACCTGAAATATAAATACAGGGTCAATCATTAAACGCGCTAATTACGATATCTCATTATCGTAGAGATAGAAAAAAAATCGCCAACTAAGGTTATACGGTGTTTCGAGTATGTAGCATACACCAAAACTATTTTTGACTGTACAGAGTGTTTTGTTTTTAAGCCATAGAACACAACTTAAATAGAACACTCTACATATATTTACATATCTCGATTAAATTTTTTCTAGGATTTATACCCATACTTTATTTTTGAAATCCCGACAAAATGTTGTCTCGTTATTTCAATTTTCTTGAATTTTTTAGTTATACAACGGTTCACAAAAAAATCGTAATACAAATGTATTTTTAAACAAAGGTACACACTTTGTTGCGCCATCGATTACATCAAATTTTAATTTCCTTAATTTTCAAATTTCATTTCATTTCATTTTTTGTAATCCAGGCTCAGGTGGAATTGGTATTTTGGATTGCCTATTTTAAAAACATAAATGGGCCATCTTAGTTGAATACCCTGTATATTTAACTATAGAAATACTAGGTAGTCAACTACAAAAAAACTTGAACTGAAATATCCATATAACAATTTTTTGTTTTTTATTAGCACTCTGTATATTGTGCTTCAATCTTATTCATACCACGACACAGCGTTTACTTGCCTTCCTTCAAAGTATTGTAAGACAGATTTTAAAAATAACGAACTATTACGATTTTTTGTGAATCGTTCCACTGGAATAACGTGGCAACATTGCATTAGAATTTCAAGAATAAACTGTGTATATATGTACAAATATATAGGGTATTTCATTTAAAAAACTAGTTGTTTGTTCCGCCTTAAAAACATGGAGCTCTGTATAGTTGAAAATAATTTTGACTTTTTTTTATTTGTGATAATTAATGAGATATCAAAACTGACTCACCCTATATATTTATAAAAATCATGGGTGCTACAACCATTTCTACTCTATATTTTGAGAATTTTAATCTTGTCATTATCAGCGATAAAATTTATATTAAATTTATACCTTAAATATATATGTTATACAATAAATTATATTATTTACATTGTATTGTTAAACCACATTTATTTTTTACATTTGTTTGAAAGTATAAGTACTTGATACTACTATTTTTTAGCACTTGTTTTTTTTCCTGATGAAATTTGAACATCAATAGTCTTTAATTTTTTAAGTTATCAACTGAAACAAATTTAAGAAAAAATGTCGGTGCAAAAAATATCTTAAAATGCAAAACAATTTTTATTTTCAAATCCAGGTCTGAATTGGATGTGGGAAAAGTGTCAACCATACGAAGGAATTTGAAGGAATTCTTGCAAGGGTCTAATTTTTTTTATTCCCTCCTTCCTTTCACAGAAATCATACTTCTTGAGGAATTGCTTATTTTGGTAAACCTTGCTAAAGTAGGTTTTGAAGAAGGTTATGTTTACAGAGTTAATTTGAACAAAATTTTGAATCAGATATGCGTGATGCGTGAATTTTGAAAGTATGAATCGAAATCCTCAAAAACTACAGATCGGTACACTAAGATGTATGTGTCAAAAAATTTAGGCAACAAAAACTCTCTGAGAATGAATTTAATTTTTTTAATCGTATCAACGTTATGGTGCATTTTAATTGCTATAATTTTGTTTCAACCGTGTCATACATAAGGATATAAATACACATTCTTGAAATAGAAGCCCTCCTGGATATTTACATAATTTAGTGCCGTTTTCAGTTGTTAAGCAATTTTTAACACGTGTACATTTTTTTATTTTCTAGATTTGATTTTCTCAGCAGATATTGATTATTCTGAGAAAACACTTAACGAGTGCAAGTGCTTTTATTTCAAATTGCATTCCTGAATAACTATATCGAATCTGATTTGTTCCATCACTTGACACAATTGTATTATTCAGTTGATGTATAAATACTTTCATAGAACGGAATATAAATGTTCTATTGTTTGTACAACAAAGTAGAAAATACATATGTGTGTGTGTGTAATGGTATGGAAGCAATAATTCTGATGTAAAGTAAACCATATGTTGCTATCGTTTTTATACCCAACACAATTATATTTTTAATCCATTTTTTTAATTATGTCATAAAAGGTAAATGATGAAAAAATTATACTTTCATATGGTGTTGCGTAGAAACTTTTTTCGATTTTTAAAATCAAGTTAAACTGTATTTTAGTGCTGATATAATTGGATAAAAGCTCAAAAAAGTTGCTCCCGAGAACTATAATTTAAAAAAAATATAACACTTTAAGCTCGGTCCAATATAGGCACATTTCCCCTATTTACCACAAAGAAAATGACACGAAATCCCAACTACAAAGTCCGAACATTTCAAGACCTTCATATTCGTATTGAAAAGTTTCACCTGTTTAATTAACAACTCACTCGGCGTAGAGTTAAAAATCCCGGCCGAAGGCGAACTGGGCAGCATATTGGACAGTTGTGCCGTGCTTGTAGGGGTGGCGCCTCCGTAGCCGTTCATGTTGCCCCCGTAGGAGCCCCCGTTGGACGAGTGAGGGGTCGAAGCGCTTGAACAGTAGCCTCCTCCGCGGGGAGAAACGCTGCTACTTTGCGCCCTCCCATACTCCTCTAAAAGAAAAACCCTACAGATAAAAATGTGGCGTCAGTACAAAACTCACTGCTTTCTAATACATGTATGTACATCAGCATGCAAGAATTGCTAAGACATTTGCTCCCAGGGGGCCTGTGGGTGTTCCAGAATGTTTTTGCGTACGATGCAATAAAATTTCTAATGCAAGAGTTACTAATAATGGAACGGTATGTTTTCAGTTGACTACTACAAATTATTTCAGTCATAAATCAAAAGTATTTACGTAGTCAAGCACAATAAAACGGAATAAATTGCGTAACTGAAGGTGTTCTTGATTCTTATAATAACAATTGTGGGATTTGCTACCGTGGGGATTGCGATCGTAAAAAATATTCTGGAACTTTCCGTACTGTTCAGCGATTTTTTTTTGCCAAAGCTGTGACTACACAAGTCAACCGAAAAATTTTGTTCTAAAGACTGTTCTAATAAAGTTGAATTTTAACATTTTTGAATTTGTAGTAGCAGCCTGGTGTGATCATGTTTTTTTAGAAAAGTCTTGCTAGTTCACTGGCTGAAAGAAAAAAAACAGAACAGACATCGATTAAGCACGTTTGAAGCAATGACTAAGAGATACCGAAATACCACTAACGGTAAATAATAATTATTAAAATCTAAATTCAGTAAGGAGTACAATAACAATTAAATCCTGGTTATCTACATGTTTTCTATTTTTTGTTTTATTTGCAATATAGAAAACTAAACCAGGGAAGTTTAGTAACTTTTGCGTATTTTGTCATTTTATTGGACAAATGATCTCTGCAACTATTGAAGTGACTATTTTGAGAAATTAGATGTATTTTAAGACTGTTCTGTAAATGATGAACCGAAATTGGTCTAATCATCCCATTAAAACTGTGATGATGTAATATCAAAAATTTCACTATAACTTTGCATCGTATTATTGAATCGAGTAAAAGTACTATTTTTAATATATTGTCAAGACTGTTTGAACCTAAGTGGAACTTCCCTGTCGTTTTGTATATTGAAAGTTTCGTTAACTAAAAACTATCACACTGTGTTATACATTACTCAGTACTAATTCTACTCAACGTAAGCAAGGAAGGACAAGCACCTTCTGTCCACTGACCGTTTCCGTTGTCTTGAACGCTGACAGCCAGTTGCCCCGTATACGTATTGAAAGTGGACGTCATTCCATTATTCGCCATCGTCGGCGACCTCGGCGCTGACAACGATAACTGGTTATTTCGTGGCATGGTGTAGAGGGCTTCGGCCAAATCCGCTGCCCTTTTCAGTATTATCTCCTGAATCCAACAAACAGTTTCAGAAAAACGTTGCAACTTAACGAACAAACCACTTTGTATAATGCAAATAAAACAACTTACCTTTGGTAACTTTTCAGGATCACCCGGATGCCTCGGTATGAGCTTTTGTAGCCTTTGAAATCCGTAGTCTATCGTAGGTTCGTTTAAAGCTATAAATCGAATTTAGATGTTGGTGGAGTTGAATTTGAATAAAATGATATACTCACAAACATACACGAATCTGCCTGGTGCTCCTTTACAGAATTGTTTTGATTTATATGATAATGTGACCTCGACCACTCCTGGAATATGTCTTGGGGGTGTTTGAACTCGGATAGCGTGGGGTGTTATCAACTGTTGGAATAAAGTGTGTCAGCTTGTTCCAGATATCGCTTGTGTTTTACCCACCTCGCTCCACACTAGCATCGTTCCGAAAACCACCTGAAGACCGTCGAAGAAATTGTCACCGACGATGATGACGGTAGACCCTCCTGATGTCCACCCTTCGCTCGGACTGATGGCCTTTATACAGGGGGTGGCGACAGGGAGGGGCGGGTAGAGACCTGGAAATTGACCTTTGCATATGATGTATCTTTCCTATGCTTTGGGTGGATAGATTCGTTGTTACTTTGATAATAACGAAATTACCATGAAATGGAGGGTAGTACATTCAAAATTAGAACAATTTTTTATTAACTTCATAAGTTTTAAGCGCAGCAGCATAATTTTGACGAGTCAATATCTGGTTTTATTTATTTTCTTGACTGATGAGATTGATAAGAAAATAAAACAATAACTATTAGAGATTTTAACAGATTCGCCTTACGAAGAAACGAGCTTTTTCAATTTCTCCCTTATCTGTAGTCTATCATTAACTAGTATTGACTTTAGGGATTACGGATATTATTAAAATTTTTCCTTTATGTCATTTTAAAATTGTGTGTGCCTTTCTATTTGTGATTTGTTACGTCACCAATTTTCTGGAAGAGATAAATAAATCAAGCTGTAGATTACTAAAGTCCACCCTTACATTTAACTGTAAGCATATTGCAAAAAATATAAAATTTTACTGTAGCGGAAGTTCTGACTATCTTTTCGACGATATATACAGTGCAACTTTTTTAAAAATGACCGTAAGTATTGCCATGTTTGAGTAAAGATTCAGAGTTGAAAATTTTACTGGATGAAATTTGAGTCATCTTTTTTCGATTTTATTAAAGATTATGCTTTATTTTTAAGGATATTTCTTAAAAAAAATATTTGGGTATTTTTGTCGGTAATATTGAAGGCATCCATGTAAAACAGACATTTATTTGACTTTTCCAAAATGGAGATAGTCACTGAATATATTGACAAGAAAAATCGAGCAAAATTTTGTTCTAACATTTCTACATTGTTTCATACTCAGTAAGAGCACAATTAAAGAATTTTATGGTAAGGTACATTTATAAAATACAGGTGTTTCGATTGTGGACATCGAAAACGAAATTTCAATGAAATTATCTTTTATTTTCTTGATTTATGTTTGAATTCCATGATTCTGTTTATTTTTCAAAAACTGCAAGAAAGGTTTTTAATGATTAAATTAAAATTGTGTCGTCAAAAATGACAAGTCAAAACTTTCAGTTTATGATGTACCTAAACTTTTTAAGTAAAATAATTTTTACTTTTTATAGCACAAATTAACTGGTAGTGGAAGTAAAAGTAGAACCCTAAGGCTATTGCCATCGCAAAAGTCATCTCTGGATTTTCACCCTAACAAAAATTAACATAGGGTCTAAAATTTAATATGGGAATCCCTATGGCTACTTTAAAAAAGATGCATATACAGGGTTTTTATAAATGATTCTGAAGGTGTAGTTGGCCATTGATTTCAAAAATCCCGCTTCGCTGAAATTATCCCTCATTATGATAGTTCTCACTTGTTATTAATGTCATTTGTAACCTGTCATTTAAAGTCATTTTTATTGTTTTAGCGTTTTTTCAAGTGTGAATTACAGTATTTCTCGGTGATCCAAGCTTAAAACAACAAAATAGTCGTTTTCAAAACTTTTGGTGCTTGCCTACCCAAATTTTGTATTTGTGTTCGGAAGTGAAGACCGTGAAAATGGTTTGTTCTGTTGACACTTTCATTGTTATTTCTTATTACCGCAATGGGATATTCATAAACGAAGTGTGGATCGATTCTGTAATCGTTTGTAAGCAAGAATATCTGGCCAAATACCGTGATTTGATAATTCAAGAAGACAAAGGGAAATCTCCTGAAAGATCTTCAGTATTTGAAGAAATTGATGATTTGAGCAAAACGGGCAAACCTCTTTGACAAAATTTCCTCAGCAGTCAGGAGTTTCTGTTGCAACATGAAATTGAACAATGGGTCCAAAGTATTGAAGAAAGGAAATTAAAAAAAGGGTGAACATGTGTCTTGAACAAAGTGCTCAAACTTTTCAACATTTACTGTGATGGCAATAAATTTGTTTCTTTTTATTGTAATGAATTAGTTTTATTTCTTAATAAGATATGAAGCATGTATTTATGCAGATGCGTGTTGTATTTGTCATGAGTTCTTGGATATTTAGTAAAATGAGAGGCGGCACGTTTCCATGACCTATTTCGAACCTATAATCATTTATAGAAACCCTGTATATACGCTAAAAAGTATGGAAGCAGTTGATTATCGCGAGAACGGTTGGTTGAATATTTTTGAAATTTGGACTGTCTCTAGGAATAGTCAACTTCTATTTTCTGCAAATTTTTCAAATTTTATACTTCATCTATTTTTGAGATGCAGGGCTATTTTTTTTTTAATAACACTAGTAGTCAAATGTTCCGTTTTTAAATAGGACATTTTACAAGTCAGAAATGTAACGAATGCGTTATTTTATTTTTCCCCAACATGGTAAAATCAATCGTCAAAATAAAAATACTGCAAATCATAAAACCGTAGCTAATCTTGTCAATACTATCTATCACCTGTCATAGTCCTTGTAAAAATGATAGAATTGATGATACATAAACTGAAATATATAACAGAATGATTTAAATGCTGTTTCCAAATAATTTACAATATATTCTAAAAATAACAATACTCCGATTTAATGATTGTAAATCGTAAATGCAATGTTATGAAAGCTTTTTGTAAAATTTAAATAAAAAATTATCGGCAATCACATTTAATATCCTTTCTTGGAGTTCTTTAATGCTTTGTGGTCTATTAACATAAACTCGATTTTTGACGTAATCCGACAGAAAAAAGTCAAGTGGGGTTAAATCGGGTGACCTAGCTGGCCACTTAACTACTCCCCTTCGTCCTATCCACCTTCCAGAAAAAGTTTCATTCAGGTAATGCCGTACTTGACGTCCGAAGTGAGGTGGTGCTCCATCTTGTTAGAACCAGATGGACTCTACAGGTAAATTTGGCTCTTCACAGTTAGAAAATATTTGTCTAAGTCGAGGAGTACTACTTTGTTGCAAAATTTGGACGTATTTGTCAGACTTTAAATTGTGTGGAGACCAATAACACCGAAAACAAATTTGTTTATGAAGTTGCCACCCTGATCTAGTCTGTCTGCCCTTATTTCGCAAAATGAGAAATTTTATTACTTCAATTTTAGTGTTTTATTAAAATATGTTTTTGTTAAAAAAGTGTATGCATGTGTTACAGTTATAAATTCAGAAAAAAAATCTTCTATTAAAAAATTGACGATTTGGCTTGAGAGGCTATTAAACAAATGAAGTTTCAAGTTTCAAAAAAATACGGAAAATAGAGCTTGAGTATTTTTATGTATAGCCCAAATTTAAAAAAGATCCAACTAACCGTTCCTGAGATATTCAACTCTTCCATACTTTTTAGCAACCCTGTATACATATCCTCCTAATTAATAAGTTGATAAGGTTGTTCTGATATAAGTATCTAATAGTGTTCGTGGGTTCTGTGATATACACGTGCAGTGCTTCAAATTTAGTTTTCGTTGGTTCAGAATTTCAATTTCTCTGATGGCAAAATCGCAATAAAGCGAAGAAGTAACCCTTTTTGCCCTTTTCGTTTGCCCACGCGATCGGTTCCCCAATTTGTAAGCTGGAATTCCGTCCTCGCGCTCCTTAAATCAGATTCGCAACCGAATCGTGTAAGCGTAATGGGCAAAATTCTTTGTTAAGTTTTTCGCGGAAAAGATTAAGATAAAAGGGATAAAGTAGAACAAAGTGAGATATTAAGAAAGTGAGGCATGGCTTGTTCCGCGACGAGCGGATAATATAGAACCGCGGCGCGAGGGTGAGATATCAGCTCGGGTCCCCCAAATCTCGAGAACGAACGTGTAATAAAGATAGAAGGAGAAAGTGAATAAGAAAGAAGATTAAAGGACTGGTAAGAAAGTGCAGGCGCTATATGTACGGCGTTTCCGCTTCCTTCCTCCAGTGAACTGAATCGGGAGCCAATTTCACAAAGTTTTGGATCCGGGACGGCTCCGCATACAAACGAGATGTTTCCGTGAGGCGCGCTGCAGAACACTGCCGTATATACCGGAGGATTCGGATCTAGACGGCGTCACGGCGCATACCAATGAGCGTCGGCGATGATTTGTGGCTAACATCTCACCTGCGCGTCACCATTCCATCATGCGACGTCTACTCAGCTCCACGCGAGATAATTTCCAGCAGGAATTGGAACGGCCGGCACGACGTAGCAGGAGGGAAAAGTAACTACCGGATCGTCAAAAAAAGAGAATCCGGGACCGGGCAATTAACGTTCTGCGTGTTTCGACAATTAAAGTTCTTGTTTAATATTGTGATGAAGTTTGTTTAAATGTTTTTTTTTGTTGGTTCTGATGTAGAAGGTGACCCGATTTGGACACATAGGGCAATAACAAGACGAAATGAGCTAAGGGATGGTCAACAAATAAAGTATTTACTTGGAATTTCACAAGTTTTAGAACACGAAAATGCATTTCCACCACTACGAAATTTTAAGTGTACTTTCAGATTACCGTGAAGAACGTGTGTGTTTATCTCCTCTAAAAAAATCGATGATGTCATCTCAAATTGTTCTTAAATACATTTTTCATTTGAAATGTACAGTATGACACACTTGTGCCGGTGGTTTAATAAATCATCTCTATTTTTATCTTTAAGTATACGTGTTATAAAAAAATTTTCGACCTCTTCATAAAGTTTATTCAGCATCTTTATTTACTTTAAGGACACTACAACAGCACTGTACGAGATTCGTAATTAAAAATTGATTTTATAAGATTCTGTTGGAAATGAATAAATAAAAATGACTACATATTTCTGTGAAATCTTAAGTGTACATTTTTTTTGTAAGACAGAGTTGTAAAATTTTACGTGAGAATGTTTTGAGAAACGATGCTATCAGAAGATAAATGTTTGGTTTATACGTTTGCTTGTATCAGTTACCTTGACCTAACACGTTATATTTTTTATTTGAACATATTTCTTCGCTTAATTTTCGATCTTATACTATATTTACTCATATACCTACACATTAACAAAGTCATTTATTTTGACTTATGAATGTCCAAATTGGTTACAAAAATATACAAAATAAAATAAAAATTTATATTTTAATATTCAGAGAGGATTAGACCCGAACAAAAATACGAATTTCTCTCTAAAAATGTTTTAAAATTTTATTAAAAAATATAAAAAAATATCATTTTTCATTTTTAAGGAAAACGATGTGTTGAAATATTTACGGTTATTATAAATGTATTGCAAAATTCTTTTAAAGTACTTAAATTTTAAGTTTATCACAGATTTCCACTTTCGGCAACAACAGTACAAGTGGATTTTTTTTAATATTTATTCGTAAAGTAAAGTATTAATTAGTCTTGTGGTTGAAGGTAGCAGATAACCCAAGATGGAGTGTGGAACTTTGTAAATCCCACAGAATGGTGAAGACCAAAGTCCAGAAGAAAAAGTTTAACATCTGAAGTGTATTTATCTGTTATGTAATAGATGGGAATATTCTTGACACAAAATTAAGTTGTATTGTAATCGCTAAAAGTTAACACCAACAGACCATGAAATTGCTGATATGCCGGTGGTACTATCATATGGTTGAAAAATATAGTCCTCTAGTGAGCCATGGCATTTATTTTTAAAATAATGATGTTGGCATTATTGCTACTTGACACTCTATTTGACAGTTATTTGATCGTAACTGTCAAACTAAACAAAGAACGCGTTGGTGTTGCCAACATCATCATTTTAAAAATAAATTTCATGGCCTACTAGGGAGTTTTTTCGATCATGTTTCATGTTTACGTAAACTTTTAAATGCTAAAATTATTAAATAGCTCCTTCTATAATCATCGAAAGAAAAAAATTAGCACTCATAAAATTTTTAATAACATGTTTAATATTGACTATAAATTTGATGGTCCTGCCTAACTCAAGTTTAGTGGTCCTGACATATTAAAAAATATACACGCCAGTGTAGGTATATAAATCTTTAAAATAAAATTATCAAACTAAAAAACAGATGCTTTCATATAAAAATTTTAACCGTTTTAGAAACAAAATTAGATTAAATTTCAGAAAATTTTATGAGGGGGAAACGATGCAGGGTTTCGAGTTATAAAAACGCAAAAGTAATTTTGGGTTTCAAAGTTGAAATTCAAAACTGTCAAATCGGAAAACAGCAAGAAATTTCAAGTGATTGATCCAAATTACTTTCCACTCTAAAAACCATGTGTTTTTTTTATAACAACGTAGCAAATTTTAAAATTCTGTATCTTCTCTGTTTTATAGAAATTATAGTTTTACTAAAACTTTTTACTTATTTTTTACCATATAATTTCCACTAATTTATGCAGCAGTGTTCCTAATCACCTTGTATAAATATATGATTACGAGAAAGTTAGAAAAAACATGATCAAAGACACCCACCACAAATTTTCACATCCATGGCTACCTTTGATCATGGTTTTTATGGCTCTGTCGGTACAATGACATTAATCGCAATGTCTACTGTATTGGGCAAAACAAATTAGAATTTTCACCACAGTGTGTTTAAAATATTTATAACAAATCTGACAAGAGAAATGTTGGCCTACATATTGGAACAAATAAAACAAAAGGATGACATTTTAGGAATAAAATGAACGGCTACTTTCATGTTTTCTCGACGTTTCTCGGTCCCAAGAGTATGAAAAAGTAGGTTTTTCGTAGGTGGTAAAACACTAACCAAAATGTGTCTAATCATCCCCACCAACAATTTGTCATCTCATCTCTTTTTTTTAGTAATTATTATATAAATTTTATAAAATAACGTTCTCCTGTACCTACTTTTTTTTCTTGTATTATCACTTTATTAACTAATTTTTTTTTCTAAAAAACTGGATTTGTTTGGACCAATTTTTTTAGTACATATTCCTAAAGCATCCTAAAAAGACCTCTATACAGTTGACAACTAAGAAGTGATTTGCTTAATTTTAAACAACAGCTTTCATCATCAGGCATGACAGAAATTAAACGAATACAATTTTCTTAAAAGTTGTTAAACGTGAATTTATTTTGCGATTTTTAATTACAATACGAAAATAGGATGAATTTCAGTTTTTTGAAATGCGAAGCACGTGGACAATATTTTTACGATCATACTTTCAATAGAAGTAGGCACAATAGAATTCAAAAAGTGTATAAGAAATAAGGAAAATAAGGACTTTTGGTTATTTTTAAGCTAGTTTATATCAAGTGCTTGATATTCAGGATTTCATCTAAAACTTCCTCTCTATTTTACTTTTTACTTTGAAAAATTGTTCAAATTGCAATTTCTGTATCTCTGATATCTCATTCAGCATTAGAAAAAAGTCAAAAATCGAAGTTGTGAGGCTCTTGGATGTATGTAATGTATGTAATGTATGTATGCTGATACATTAAAATTACTTTGTTTTTTTTTAGTAGAACACCCTGTATATTTTTACACGACCTGGTTGGCCTTTTCTTAGGCTTCTTAACATGTTTTATGTTTGAAAATCTGATGCGACGTTGATAAGTTATTCTAATTTTCTTGAACCTTTCTGATCGAAATTGAATTTTATTATACAGAGAGTTTAAATAATTTAAAAAAAAATTATAATATATTTATATATTCGATAATTTATTAGTTACATAATTGCATGTGAGTATTCGTTGAAGTTTTTAAAACAGCCAAAAGCCAAATATTATACAGGGTGTTCACTAAACACGGCGCAAAAATTCAGGGGCTTATTCCTTGGTTCATTTTAATTTGTCCTTGAATCATTTTTCCAAATACAGCGTCTTTTCGAAAATATTCCAAAAACAAAAAAATCTTAAAATCGTAAATCTTACTGTCAAGATTAAATAAATTTTTATCTACTTTGAAATCAAGCGTAATAAGAAGTCATTTTGCTTTCTAAATTCTAAGCTTTCCTGTATTTTAAATTTTCATTTTATTTAAAAAATTATAACCTATTTTTGTAAAAAGAATATAATTACGTTACAATTACGTAATTTGTCGACGGCGAATGAGAATTTGTTCTGTCAAGCATAAACAAAACATTTTCAAAGCCAATGGGTTGTCTCTTGGGAGTCTGATAGTAACAGTAGAAACGAAAAATACAGTGGAGTATTAAATACATGCCAATCTACTTAGTTCTCGCAGAACGAATTCCAATAGACATATATAAAGAGATTTCACTTTCATAAACGTTGGTTAAGGCGTGGGAGGCATTCTTCAGAAGTATGTTAATGAGAGTTTGAAATCAGATTAGAGCGAACATTTAAATAAAGTAAACTATACGAGAACCAATTTATTATTAAAATGAACCAGAACAACGTTATAAGATGTTAAAAATAAGCCAATTCTAATTCCAGGGCGAGGGAAGTTCTATCGAAATAATCTTAGCCAATTTTGTACAATGCAAACACTCGGTTAAAATCAGGAGAGTAACCCTAATGTCGCGTTTAAAACTATTCAAAAATTCTAAGATTTGATTATACAAACCATCTTGGAGTCAACTGTATATGTCAAACACTTACAATTAAAAGAACTAATAAAATCACAAAGAAAAAACAATGAGGGGTTCAAAGTAGAACCCTGTGCTACACCACTGTCAGGATGGAAGACGAAAGAAGAAAATCTAGAGTAGTCTATGCTACAACTACAGATTTCAACATTATTAATAAATCCTCATACAATCCAAAATTTCTCGATTTATTTAATAAAATGAGATGTATGTACATGATCCAAAGCTTTCGTCAAATACGAGTAAGTGCAAATCACATCTAGCTGCAGTAGTAGTATAAATTTGGTAAATTTCTATTACAAAAGTAACTTCTCTAAGCTTTTGATTTATTGTAAAAAACCAAAACGTGAACAACGAACCTAGCGTTGTTATTGCTTAGACACCACGTAAGTTGAAGCTGCAGTAGCTGTATTTGAGCAGTGCCTTTCTCGTGATCAATGCATCGGTTCTAGTAAAGCATCTGAAATTTGTATAGTGTAAAAGCGGCTGAAATACCTGCGCGCGCACCTCTGTCGACAATTTCTCTTTATCTCAATCCGCGCTATTTCAAGTTTGCGAATTCCTCCAAGAATCAAACCTCGTACAAAAAGAGTCCGACTCACCTTCCGTGGGATCCAGTCGTTTCGCTCTTCTTCCGTGTTTGGAGTTGTTGTGTACGAACATGTTGTCGGAGATGGCGAGCAGAGGTCCATCAACGGACACCTGCGTCGCTATGACGACCTGTAATCGAGAACATCATTAATACAAGATGAGACGCGTCCGATGCAGGTGCAGCCATTTTGCGGCCAAGGTGGCGGCGGCAGTGCATCGCAAGACAGACTCCTCCCTCGGGGACGCTCGCGCTGTCCCAAGGGACCCTCCGCGCCCCTGCGATACACACGCGTTCCCATGGGAACCACAGGATGATGACGGCGGAGCGGCCAGTAGGCGGCGTTCGATACGCCGTTGAAATACGGCCATCGACCATCGCCACATTGTACCTGGACAACACCGGAAGTTCCGGGTCCAAGACGCGGCCGAGACGCCGGCAAGCCGGAAATTGCCAAGTATGACGGGAAAAAAGTCGGTAGGGAGGCGGCGATGTATTTACATTAAACGGATTATGCCGTGCGCGTGTTGGGGTTACTTATTAAATGAGGTTTAATTTTTTTGGTGAGATGAAGGCGGTGTATGGGAGATGTAGATAAAACGGATCAGTTCGTGTAATGAGTGGCTAATGAAATCTTTTCGTAATAAGGTGGTGGGGTTATGGAGGTTTTCGTACAAGAATAACAACATGCCGTTTCGAAAGTGAAATCAGACGAGTCTGTTTTTCTGAAATAAGTCGAAGTTAATCTCGGAGTTTAAACTTTTTAACTCTCAGTGCTTCGATATTCCAAATCCAGATACTTTAATGTTATTATGGAAGTTTCGACATTTTAAATCTCGAACTTTTGACTTTTCGAATCTCGAAACTTCAATTCTTCAAACGGCAAAACTTTGAAACTAGTTTAGAACTCGTATTCTATAAAGAAATTACTCTTTGTTGTTAACTGTGAAATTTTGAAATTTAAAATTTCGACAGTTTATTTTGCGTTATTCCCTGTATGTTAATATTTTTGAATAGAGAACTTTTGACCGTTAGATATATTTCTATATCTGTGACTTATGAATCCACCTTAATTTCTTACATTAGATGTCCAGATTTTTCGAAAAAAAAAATCAGACTTGTATAACATTTTACAATTTAACTTAGAAACGTTTTAAGGACGTTGTAAGCATGGTAAATCGCTGATCAAAAATTATCTACTTATATCACCCAAAATATTGATGACGTTATCTCAAAATTTTGCCGCGTAAATCTAATCTGAAATAAGTAAAATATTATGAATCTACACGTGCAGTTCATCAGTGCATTCAAATTTTATTAAAATTATTTATATAGGGTGACTCAAAAAGAATTAATGGAGAAATTTGTTTCATTGATTAAATCAAAAATATTTTTTCCGAAATTCATTTTAAATTTTACACAGAATTAATTGATACACGTGTCCTTGCTAAAAAGCTGATGACGTCATTACATAATTATGAAAGAGTAACTGAAAACATATCTAGCACGCTGAATTTCTTCGATTTATCTTCAGGGGCGAGGGAAGTTCTGTTCAAATAACTTTCAATCCATTATTACTTCTGGAGCGTAAGCTAAGAAATATTGTACTTAATCGAAATTAATCGAATTGTAATCGAAATCTATGTGTCTGTTTTATAATAAAGATTTAGAGCACTTGTGACGTCATTAATTTTTTGATAAATAATATTTTATAATCTACCAAAATTTTTTTGTAGATGTTTGTTAATTATAGTAATTTTTCTTTGCATAATATTATCGTCATTCTTTAAAGAAATAATAATTTTTGGACCTGTAGCAATATTTTGGAGCACAATTGCGAGTAAGACGGAAGATGGACAACTATAGTTACTGTTTCCGAAGGTCAATATTTATTGCAAACATTGTATATTTAAATGAATAAATAAAACTCCACGTTCAAGTTTGTACTTCCTACACACATGTTAGTGGCTGATACGATCAATTACTTTCGAAAAATTTACGGTTTTTTATAGCAGTAACCAGTGACGTATCAACTAAAGGTTCAGCGGTTTCTACGGAATCCAGGCCCGTGAGTCCAAACTATAAGAAAAATAAAACATAGTTTGCCTGAATAATTATTTTTGTGAAATTTTTTGCTTGTATACTTATTTTAATTATACCTACACTATATTACCAGAGCTGTATTATTTGCTGAGAACCAAATAACTAGTCTTTCTAAAAAAAAATAATAAAAAACTGTTGAGTTTAAGATCAAGGCTTCTAGCTCCCTATGAAAGATTTAGGATCTTCAAAAATTTTTAGAAACGAGACCGCATTGCTACGCCACTGGTAGTAACGATCTATTAACATGATATAGTAAAACAAGAAATTGCATTTCACGATAATATGATTTCTTGTACGGTAAATTACAGTGTATATACGGACAATTGAAATGTATTTTTCCCGCAGACATTTAAATTTCGCAAAATAAATGAAGGCTTCTTGATGACTCAAATTCTCAAGGTCTATTTACACTGTTACCAACTTCAGCAATGTAAGTATGATTTTAATATTTATAGGTGTTGAAAAAGATCTTTCATTCAATATTTCCAATGCGACAGTGAAGACAATGTGTTTCCATATTGTCTACTGATCCGAATTATTTCTTCTTAAGATATGAAAGTAGAACAAAGATAACACCAAGTCGACATATGCTTTCTGGGAACAAGAATTTTTATATTGTAACGGTAAACAAACGAATATGCGCAACTGGTGTGACTTCATTTCACCGTCAATATCTTCTCTTTGTTTATAAAGTGGCATAGTCGGGGAAATTTAAAGTGGCGGACCTAATTTTCAAAGTCGCCGTAGATCAGCATAAAAGTATTAATTTCTGTGAAATAATAAATATTATTTGACGGAAGATAATAGCATCTTTGGTAATTTTAAAGATTAGGTCTGCTTTTCTAGATTTCTCGTATTTTATCCAGACGTCGTTATAAATGTGGCTTTTCGTGTGAGCCTCGTATATTTATTTCGTTGTTTTGGAGGGAAACTGTGCCGGACCTCGTCAGCAATTCAGGCCGGTTTTCCGTCTTATTCGCAAGAAGCGCATCTATCGGCGAATAATGGCTTCATAAATTCAATATTTAACGCGTCTGAAACTTCAATATGAATGGGCACTTGGCGAGGTAGTTTTCAGCTACCGGCGAAATTGGATATAAAGAGGCGCAGGGACGGTTGCTGCAGGAGGAGAAACCGAGTCGCCGATGAGATCAGGGGAAATAAATGAGGCTCGCAAGCCACGGTATTCCTTATAGTTCTTATACTCTGCCGCCCCCGACACAAGGAGAAAATAAAAATCTTTTCTATTTCAGCCGCCCCACGGTAAATCCCGCGCACAGCTCGCTGTAACGTGTATGGAAATTGAAATAAATGGCAGTGTGCCGCTCTCTATGGCTGTGTAATTTTGCCGGAGTCCTTCTTCGACGTCCTGGAACACGGTATCGTAACGCCGTCGTGTTGCAGGCGGCACGCCGCCGCTACATACAAACGATCAATTTACACAATAGTACGTCGTTATGTGCTAAATTACTGAGATCGTGCGGATATCCGGCTCGACGATTACTACAAGAAGCCGTCAAGTGTATTGTCGGTCGTCCCCAGGGTGCAAGTCTCTTAATCATTACGATTAAAATGCGTGGAAAAACAAGAGCGTCTACTACGAAAACGTAATCAAATTAATGGCAGCTATTAGCTCACACCGTGCCGTGGAACTACCGCCACCCAGACGGTATTGATGCAAGCGACTTTAACTCAACGCTGATTCAAAATTGGTGCATCAAAATGATTCTACGACAACTGGTCGCAAACAATTGATCGCGCGACAATTGATCGCAAGCAACTCGTCGCAGCACAATTGGTCGCACGCGACAATTGATCGCGGCGACAATTGATCGCAGCGACAATAGATCGCACGTAAATTGATCGCAGCGACAATAGATCGTACGTAAATTTATCGCAGTGTCAATTGATCGCAAGGCAAAATTCATCGGGAAGTATTTTCTTTTATTAAAACTAAATATTTTGTATTCTGAATTTTAAGTTGCAATAAATTTAGCAACCAGGTAAGGTGTAAATATCGAATTAAAAACAATTTGAATATAGATAAGTGACGAAGTTTGTAGTTGCACTTTAAAAATTAAAAAATACGAGCGTAAACACCTTGTTACATAACATTTTTTATTAATAAATTGTCATTTTGGTTATTTTTTTTTAAGAGATTGTTTCTATTTATCTCGTTGCTTATTTTACCTATTATATTATAGGAACTAGCTTCATTATAATAAGTACTCAACATAAAAACATGCGTTTATTGTTCTTAACTAGATTACAGTTATTTAAAAAATCATATTTTTAAAAACCTTTAAATTTTAACACATTTTGATACAGAATTGCCTCTATTGTCTATTCTTGTCTTTATACATATCACCAAACAATAAAATTTATGAACTAATAGTACATCTAGAGTATCCATATGCAGCGAATGTAAATTCCACTGGACGGATATAATACTTATTTTAATCCCTTGTAAATTGCAACGGATCTTTTACAGGGTTTGAGAAAGGTTTACGTGTATTGTAAATATATATTGCAAAAACTTTTGTTAGAGCGTCAAGAATAATTTTGTGTTACCGGGAAATCTAAGAAATGTAGGTACTTATGCAACTAAAAACTTATTTTTTAATTATTATTATTTGACTAGTATTGTACTGAAGAAAAATTCAGTTGTACCATATGTGGGTGTAAAAAATACATATACAGGGTTAGTCACGCGAAAATTATTTCTGAAAATTATTTTTACGCAACCCAAAATACGAATACCATGTACCACTTGATACTAACTGAATTTAAAATGAAATGCTTAATTCATGATTGTTTTGAGTTTGGCAATGTCATTTTGACAATTCTGGAAAAGGAGGTTACGCGAGTGTCCATGGTGGTACCGCAGCCAGTTGGAGATCTCCGCTGGCGCCGCTAATAAGTTTGTCAGGGCTTGCTTCGAGTGCCTCTTGATCTTTTGCAACCGATTAATGACGAGAAAATTATTTCTAAAAATTCCTTTTACGATAGATATTTCTGTGACGTGTAA